AGACCGCCCAAGTTTGTACACGCCGGGTTCAGTCACCTGACCCGGCGTTAAAGGCACAGTGCCTCAATCACAGTGGGAGGTCTAGATATCTCCCATGTGTGATTGTTAATTCTAATTGGAAATTATCCAATCAGAATTAACCTTATGGTTTAAATACTTACCTTTCCTGTTCCTCCCTGCCCTGTTGTGGTCTTTGCTTTCTAGTATTGCTACTTACCTTGTGCTTTTGGTTACGTACTCTCTGGCTTGTTTATCTGACTCTGTGACTTTCTCCTACCCTTTGACCTCGGCTCGTTTCACGTTATTCTGTCTTCTGGCTCCCCTTACTCGGCTTGTTTCCTGACTATTCTGTGTGTGCTTAGCCCGGCCACTCTAAGGTCCGGTACGGCACCTTTTGTGTGTGTGTGTGTGTGTGACAGCGTGTTGGGTTCCCCGAATCGTGACAAGAGCCCCCATCCGATGTCAGTAGTCTTTAGTGGACATGCCCTACTTTTGTCATGTCAAGTGGGGGCATTTGTCAGATTTTATACCTCCCATGTACTACAGTCACTGGCTGGTGCGATACAATTTAACACCTCTCTGGAAGCTTTTTATGGTGGAAATTAAATAGATTTAAACTAACAATAAGCTTATCGGGAGCTGATAAACAGCTGATACATGTGATCAGCTGATATGTAATCAAGACCAATCTTATGTTTTAGAGTTCAAAATCAGTGACTTTTTTACTTAACAAATTTTAGCAAAATTTTAGTAAATCCCCAATGCAATCCCCTACAATTCAGGGATATAGTAGAAAATGGGGAAAGAGGACATAGAGCTGAGCTGAGGCATCAAAAGTGAAAATTTTCAGCACCTATTAATCCCAGGTAACCTTTGACACTAATCAGCCACATCCATCCAACATATATACCAAATATCTGTCAAAATGCTGGGAGAATCCAGCCATGAGTGCCTTCAGATCAGCTTCATTATTTTTTTCTTTTCTTTCACTGCTGCTCACACTTGAGGCCTCCATTCTTTTTACGCAGGAGTGAATCTTTGGACTTATTAAAACGGCTGTGAACATACACAATAATGTTGAGAAGTAACCAGACCAACAAACTGAGCTGGATTAACATAGGGGTGGGGTTCTAGCACCCTTCTGCTGTAATAGGCCCATACTATTGGCTTACTTGTAAATCTTGCAGCTGACTTCTCCCTCTGCTCTTGATTGAGCTCTGGGTGACCTGCTGACCATCTTGCTGATGTTGAATTTTCCAGAGTGATCTTGGTCACCCTGAATGTCCAATCTATATACAAATCAATCATTCATGCTGAAGGTATTGCAGCCATTAACTGGACTTTACAAAGGGACAAAGAGATGATATGAACGACTGAGACTACTCAAATATGTTGAGTCTATTAACCTTTGTACTTAAGGAAATTTGTTTCTATTTCGGGATAAATACATCTTGCAAATCAAGGGGTTTGAATGTAGCCCCCACCTATGCTAATCTCTTTAATGAATAAATTTGAAAATGAGAAAGTCTACACATTGTCTCACTTTGAACAATATTTAATGAGGAAGAGATATATTGATTATATATTTATGCTACAGGGGGAGAGGCCCCTGCGCTCAATTGCAATACTGTGTTGATCTGCTGAATGGACTGGACCCCAATAACCAGTTTACAGCAAGCATACAGGATGACCAAATTTCTTTCTTAGATCTCTTGGTTTATAAATCTAATGGGAGACTGGACAGTGGCATATACAAGGAAACTGACCATAACAACCTTCTTAGATAGGATAGTTTCAACCTGTCCCACCAAAAGTTAGGACTACCAAATAGCCAATTCCAGAGGACTAAAAGGATTGTCTCTAACTCAAACAAAGTCGTCAACAGAATAGCTTCCATGTTGGATAGGTCTGGACAGAGGGGTTATCCAAAAGAATCCCTCCAAACACAAGTAGACAGAACAGTGGACAGTGACAGAAAGAATTTACTTTTACCAACCAAGACCCATAAAAATAAGTCCCAGGAATGGATTTCATTTATCTATAGTTACATTGCAGTCAGTCGGGAAATAAAATTGATTATCTCCAAACATTGATAGATCTTTGCTATTGATCCTCTCTGGCCATCAATTTTTCAACAACTACCACTTTTTGCCGAGTACAAAAGGGACACTCTAGTTAGAGCAGACGTTGGCTCTTTTAAGAAGCTAAACCAAGACTCTTTGGAACATCCAAATCCAAACAATGTTTCCATGTTTGAACTATGCCCAGTGCAATAATATTATAAGTGGTGATTCTTTTACACAACCACTCACATGGTATAAATACCAAAGCCAGAATTTGATATTTGTATAATGTTTGTTGCATTTATACGATGGATAAAGTTTGTTGAACAGCAATGCATGATGTTATTATCTCTGCGTATGTCCTTTTCTTCAGGTCACGCATTCCACCAACCCTCCCAAGAATCATGAGGATGCTATATTAAGATTACCACACCGCATATTATAATCTACCCTACAATCAACTTTGGTGAGAATGTTCCAACAGTGGAACATAATTTTTTAGTTTGGCAGGTATATGGACTCTATATATTTACTGCAGTAAAATAATACTATAATACTTTTACAGAGCCTGCAGTAATGTGCAGGGTGTACTGGGATATTACAGAGCCCCCAGTAATGTGCAGTGTGTACTGGGATCAGGGCTGGCCTTAGGTGTTCCAGCGCCCTGTGCGAGCTAATCTTGTGGCGCCCTCCTCCCCCTCCCCACCTAAACATACACAAAGAGGAAAACAGTCTTTGTAACAAACTGTTTTTTAATTACAGATAATTTAAGTGCAAACAAGTACAATAATAAATAACTGGATTGACTGGTAACAATAATGTATATTAAATACACAGAACTCTCCACGATACCGGCTATAGACCTATCAGGTCCACTCCGACACCCACCCCGCACAACATTACATGAGAACCCGGGGGACACTCTAGCTACCTGCTCCCCTCAGGGATCTACACGTGAACACAAATAGCCCTCATTACCTACCGATTAGCACTATTCCCCTATACCAAACACACAAAAGGGCGCAATATTCTTAAGCCACGTAATTGTATGTAACTGCCTCCGCTTAGACCACACCAGCCAAAGTGGCGATGCTTAATATCGACATTACACAAACTAACAAGTTAATGATATGGAAGGAGAGCACACAGCGATCCCCCACAGCTAGGTCAGGCACTGAATAGTCACTAAGCCCCCTCGGCATATGCCCTGACCAACCTCATAATGCCGATTAACCCCCCCCCTACGTATAAAGTGGGTGCAGGGTTGGTCGGCAACCTATTGTACATGCTCCACCAATTATGATCAGGTTTATTTCTGTTGATAATGTTTGTCTTTGTTAGAAACATAGCCGACCGAACCTGTATTGCCTTTCTGCTCCATAAGCATAGTTGATAGGCTCACAGGAACTATACCGGCTGCTCATGAGGTTATCTTGTTATCTAATATAAAAATGCATGAAAATTCAAGCCACTAATTAACCCGCACGCGTCTGCATAACTACACTGTTGTGGCATCTTGACGAAGCTATTGTGGCTAACACAAATGAGCTACACTCTAATGTATATTTTTACCTAGTTAACAATGTGTTTTTCTTTTTAAAATATAAAAACGTGCGAACTATTAATGCCACTGTTAACTTTATGTTTAAATGTGTATGCACGCTGTTGTGGCGTACGACTGCGCTTTTTTATCACCTGCACGACAAAAATAAAGAATTTAAAAAAAATATATATATATATATTAAATACAGAAAAAAACAGCTAACTGCAATCTTTTGAACATTGTTTTTTTAGAGATAATATAATGTGCAAATGCAATAATAACTGTGAACCCTGGTAAACAAAATTTACACCTCCTGACAAGTAATATTAAACGAACACTATAGTCACCTAAATTACTTTGGCTAAATAAAGCAGTTTTAGTGTATAGACCATTCCCCTGCAAATTCACTGCTCAATTCACTGTCATTTAGGAGTTAAATCACTTTGTTTCTGTTTATGCAGCCCTAGCCACACCTCCCCTGGCTATGATTGACAGAGCCTGCATGAAAAAAAACTGGTTTCATTTTCAAACAGAGGTAATTTACATTAAATAATTGTATCTCAATCTCTAAATTGAACTTTAATCACATACAGGAGGCTCTTGCAGGGTCTAGCAAGCTATTAACATAGCAGGGGGATAAGAAAATCTTAATTAAACAGAACTTGCAATAAAGAAAGCCTAAATAGGGCTCTCTTTACAGGAAGTGTTTATGGAAGGCTGTGCAAGTCACATGCAGGAGGTGTGACTAGGGTTCATAAACAAAGGGATTTAACTCCTAAATGGCAGAGGATTGAGCAGTGAGGCTGCAGGGGCATGTTCTATACACCAAAACTGCTTCATTAAACTAAAGTTGTAAAGTGTCCCTTTAATCTGATGCTCAAAATACAACTTTACGTGCTTTTGCCTTTGCAAACTCATCAATCACGCTGTTCATGTCCAACGTCTTCAAAACATCGCTTTCAATTGATAATACTGATAAAGAGGTTAGTCTGTCATCAGTCATTGATGATCTCAGATATGTTTTAATGAGTTTTAACTTGGAAAAGCTGCGTTCTCCTGATGCCACAGAAACAGGAATTGTTAATAGAATCCGAAACGCTATCCAAATGTTTGGAAATGTGTCAGTCAGGCCATTTCTCACTATGAAACTGAGTATATGGCGGGGTGCTGTGGCATCTTGAGGTAGTAGGTTTTGAATATGCCAAAGCTCCTCTGAAAGATCTAGACCATTAATGTCCGATTGGCTGCTCTTCTCTAATGCCTTCTGTAACTGCAGGCAACAGTCTCTTAAGTTTTCTCTTGCTGGAAGATGTCTCATGTTGTATAGAAATCTCCATACTTTGTTGTGTTGTTCCATTTGAGTAAAACGCTCCTCCAAAGATTTAGCAGCAGTATCAACCAAAACATAAAAAAAAATCAATCTTAAATTTCTTCGTGGGATCGGTTAAAGGTTCATCTTGGCTTTCGTAATCAAACAAGGCTTTTTTTCTGTGGATACGAGAAGGCTTTTTAAAAACAGGCTCCACATTCACTTTTTCTGCTAGTTCCTTTGCAAGCTGGAAGGAGCTTTCAAATCCAGACTCTCTGAAATGTATTAAAAAATTGTGACATTTCTGGATAAGGTTTGAGACTAAAATGATATCAGCAGCTTCATTCTGCATAGCTTTGCTCACAATATTAACTTGGTACAATATCTCATACCAAACACACAATGACACAATAAATTTTAACTCCACAATCTGCTGAGATAGTGTGTTAGCCTCATGACAAATGTTCGGTTCAGTGTGGGTTTCATCAGACAAAACAATTAGTGCTTCTTGTATTTCACCGAGATTATGTCTTAGCGGTTTTAGACAATTTATACGGCATTCCCACCGCGTGGTGCACAAAGGCTTTAAAGTGAGGCCAGAAACGTGGTCAGACAAAATTTTCCATCTCTTTACGGATCCTGAGAATAGAACATAAAGGCGCTGAATGATCCCAAATAGTAGCATCGATTCCTTGCAGGAGCGTACTGCATCTCCAATGACAAGATTAAGACAATGACAGCCACACGGTACAAATACTGCTCTTGGGTTTATGTTTAAAATTTTGGACTGAACTCCGTTGTTTTTTCCTGCCATATTGGCTCCATTGTCATAACCTTGTCCACGACAATTATCAATGTCCAAATTTTTTCCTGAAAGAAATTCAAGGAGGAAATCACTTAATCCTTTTCCAGTTGTATCCTCTACTTTATTGAAACCAAGGAAATGTTCCTTTACTTGAAAATTTCCAGAAATGTCTTCCAAAAATCGAATTGTAAAAGACATCTGCTCCTTATGGCTAATATCTGGAGTGCAATCAAGGATAATTGAGAAATATTTTGCATTTCTGCAGCGCTGTAAAATGTCCTCAATTACCTGTTTTGCCATAAGATTTATTATTTCATTTTGAATTGTTTTTCCGCAGTAGTGGTCTGCAGTTTCTTTTGATACCACCCTGCGTAAGTGTTCTGCCATCACACTGTCGTATTTTCCTAATAGTTCCACGAGACCTAAAAAATTTCCATTATTGGTTGTAAAAAGTCGATCTGAAGAGCCTCTGAAGGCCAGATTACGCTCTGCTAAAAACTGGACAATATTTAACAACCTCTCCATCACAGATCTCCAGTGTTGCCTTTCCCGGCTCATGAGATTTTGATAGTTTTGGTCAATCGCGTGTTTTGATTTCCGTCTCAGTTGTGTTTCAGTCCACATCTGCTGGGCTGTAAAATGACCACTGGAGGTTTCATGCGATTTCAAAATATTTGACATATGTGTCCAGTCATCTGATCCTCCAAGGGCAAGCGATGTTTTAGGATTCTTATCAAATAATTTACAAGAGAAACAGAATACTTTATTGGTAGATGAGGAGTATACCAACCATCGCCGTGTTTGTTCTTCACCACTGTCTAATTTTCTTTTGTAGAAAGCTGAAGAAAAGTGCCGATTATAAGCATCTTTTTTAAAATCAACATCTTGTACCTGTACAGGACCAACATCTAAAATACCATCAATATTCTTAGAAATCAATTTTGGCCACAAAGCGGGATCTGTGAAGCTTGAGTTTTCACATGTGCTTATTGTTTCATCAAAAGCCACCGAGCCAGAAGGTGTATTAGAATCCTCTTCCAAAGATGTTTTCGATGTTGAAGGCTCACTGAGCTTAAGATGCACATCACTTTGGCTACTGCAGCTTTCTTCATCTTTTTCTTCTGTGGTTTGTAAACCACTAGGTGTTGGTGTTCCAAAATATTTTTTGATTACTCCAGCACTCTTCTGGTCCTCCAAATCCATAAGGGCCCTTCGTTTTCGATTCTGAGCACCTGACAGTTTTTTGGGACCCATAATGCTGCTACACGATACAATAAAAAAATATATATTTAAAAGAGAGGCCCTTTTAAGTATAGATGCAAAAGAAATGCAAGATTCGCAGCAGCAGTGTACAGATAATATGAATTTCCTAAATGTAGTACGCCAACATTTGCGCCAAATAAAGTATAGATAAATAAATAAGCATTGCAGGTATTCATCAAATGAATAAGACATCCAAACCTTGTATTTCCAGGTATAGATTAAATAACATAACACATGGAAACATAACATTACATGTGTAGAACAACTAAACATAAAAATCACAACATAAAAATCACATGCTAACACAGTAGTGAAGATATAGATCAACTATAGATCAGCTTCAATGTCACTGTCGGGGGTCTTTGCACATTTGGCAAATTCCCAGACAGTGACAGTGCCACTTTAATAGTATAATCCACAAAGTCAGTTTATGTATTGTAGAAACAAGAGCAATGTTGTCAGTACACTATATTTAACCATTTTACAACACTAAGCATGTATAGCCTCTCCCTCATTTCTTAAACCCACGTCTTTGTTTGGCCCCCTCTAGACAATTTCAGGCACACAATATGCCGCCTTCACCCCCTTCACCAAAACCCTTGGCCACTTCTTCAATAAAACCCCTGCCCCCTTCATCAGACCCTGCCCCCCTTCATCAGATACTGCCTCTATTCATCAGACCCTGTACCCTTCATCAATCCCCAGGCTGCACCCCTTCATCAACCCTTTGCACCCCTTAATCAGACCCTGCCTCCCTTAATCAAACCCCTGCCCCCCTTAATCATAACCTGGCATCCATGCCCAGTCCCCTGCCCCCCTTAATTAGACCCAGTGTCACCCATAGCCAGTCCCAGTCCCCTGCCCCCCTTAATTAGACCCAGTGTCACCCATAGCCAGTCCCAGTCCCCTGCCCCCCTTAATTAGACCCAGTGTCACCCATAGCCAGTCCCAGTCCCCTGCCCCCCTTAATTAGACCCAGTGTCACCCATAGCCAGTCCCAGTCCCCTGCCCCCCTTAATTAGACCCAGTGTCACCCATAGCCAGTCCCAGTCCCCTGCCCCCCTTAATTAGACCCAGTGTCACCCATAGCCAGTCCCAGTCCCCTGCCCCCCTTAATTAGACCCAGTGTCACCCATAGCCAGTCCCAGTCCCCTGCCCCCCTTAATTAGACCCAGTGTCACCCATAGCCAGTCCCAGTCCCCTGCCCCCCTTAATTAGACCCAGTGTCACCCATAGCCAGTCCCAGTCCCCTGCCCCCCTTAATTAGACCCAGTGTCACCCATAGCCAGTCCCAGTCCCCTGCCCCCCTTAATTAGACCCAGTGTCACCCATAGCCAGTCCCAGTCCCCTGCCCCCCTTAATTAGACCCAGTGTCACCCATAGCCAGTCCCAGTCCCCTGCCCCCCTTAATTAGACCCAGTGTCACCCATAGCCAGTCCCAGTCCCCTGCCCCCCTTAATTAGACCCAGTGTCACCCATAGCCAGTCCCAGTCCCCTGCCCCCCTTAATTAGACCCAGTGTCACCCATAGCCAGTCCCAGTCCCCTGCCCCCCTTAATTAGACCCAGTGTCACCCATAGCCAGTCCCAGTCCCCTGCCCCCTTAATTAGACCCAGTGTCACCCATAGCCAGTCCCAGTCCCCTGCCCCCCTTAATTAGACCCAGTGTCACCCATAGCCAGTCCCAGTCCCCTGCCCCCCTTAATTAGACCCAGTGTCACCCATAGCCAGTCCCAGTCCCCTGCCCCCCTTAATTAGACCCAGTGTCACCCATAGCCAGTCCCAGTCCCCTGCCCCCCTTAATTAGACCCAGTGTCACCCATAGCCAGTCCCAGTCCCCTGCCCCCCTTAATTAGACCCAGTGTCACCCATAGCCAGTCCCAGTCCCCTGCCCCCCTTAATTAGACCCAGTGTCACCCATAGCCAGTCCCAGTCCCCTGCCCCCCTTAATTAGACCCAGGGTCACCCTTACCTAGTTCCCTGCCCCCCTTAATTCAACCCAGGCTCACCCATAGTCATAGTTAATTCAACCCAGGGTCACCCATAGTCATAGTTAATTCAACCCAGGGTCACCCATAGTCCCTTGCCCCCCTCAATTAGACCCATGGTCACCCTTACCAAGTCCCCTGCCCCCCTTAATTCGACCCTGTATTTTATGAAAAGATTTTTGGATTAAAAATAAAAAAATAAGAACAGGTACTTACTTTGAAGTCTGCTGCTTCCTCCCTGTCTGCAGAGCACCGGCCGCCGCCCTCACACATTGAGCGGATCCTTCCGCGGCTCTCTGTGATGGCGCAGCACTTGCACGCTGCGCCTGTGCGGCTGCGCCCCCAAGCTCCTCCTCCACGCTCCGGAAACCGCAGTTCAGCTCACAGACAATCTCGGGCCGGCCAGTGACAGAGCGACTGCGAGCTGTGTCGGTCGGCCGCCCGGCGCCCCTGTTGCCATGGCGCCCTGTGCGGCCGCACAGCTCGCACACCCCAAAGGCCGGCCCTGACTGGGATATTACAGAGCCTGCAGTAATGTGCAGTGTAGCCCCCAGTAACATGCAGTGTGTACTGGGATATTAAAGAGCCTGCAGTAATGTGCAATGTGTACTGGGATATTACAGAGCCCCCAGTAATGTGCAGAGTGTATACTGGGATATTGCAGAACACCCAGTAATGTGCAGTATGTACTGGGATATTACAGAGCCCCCAGTAATGTGCAGAGTGTATACTGGGATATCACAGAGCCCCCAGTAATGTGCAGTATGTACTGGGATATTACAGAGCCCCCAGTAATGTGCAGAGTGTATACTGGGATATCACAGAGCCCCCAGTAATGTGCAGGGTGTACAGGGATATTATAGAGCCCCCAGTAATATGCAGTGTGAACTGGGATATTACGGTGCCCCGGTAATGTGCAGCGCGTACTGGGATATTACAGAGCCCCCAATAAGGTGCAGGGTGTACTGGGATATTACAGAGCACCCAGTAATATGCTAAATATACTGGGATAATACAGAGCCCCCCAGTAATGTGCAGCTTGTACTGGGATATTACAGAACCACCCAGTAATGTGCAGTGTGTACTGGAATATTACAGAGCCCCTGGTAATGTGCAGTGTGTACTGGGATATTACAGAGCCCCCGGTAATGTGCAGCGTGTACTGGGAGCAGGGCTGGTCATAGCCCTTTAGGCGGCCTGTGCAAAAAAATCCTCACATCGCCCCTCCCTGGCCACATCCTTTCCCTGGCCCTGTTAAACTGTAAGGGAATTGCAATATCTAGGCCAATATATCTGATCTGAAAATAGTTGAATTTGAGATATTTTCCCACTTCAGCTATTTTGTCATAGATTATTCCTTACCATGCCAATAAAGTAGAGTATATGTTTGTGTGTTTGTGCATTTTTCCTGACCTTCCTTGGGTCTCTCTCCATCTTGTGTGCCTCTTATTCCATTTTACTGTCTTGATTCTTAGTGCACTCTTTCTTCTTGTGTGTCTCTTAACATGACTTCAATCTTGTATGTCTTAACCCTATTTCCCTCCCTTATAAGTGCACAAACACATGCATAGATGCCTTGACATACAATCACATACACATATGGACATAACCACATGCAGAGACACACAAGAACACAGTTACATTTATAGACACACACAGTCACATACTGTACACATTAATATCAAATAAACGGGACTGCACTCCAATCACAGAAACACCTGTAAACCTGCAAGGAACATTTCTTTTAAATGAACACTATGGTCACCTAAATTACTTTAGCTAAATAAAGCAGTTTTAGTGTATAGATCATTCCCCTGCAATTCCACTGCTCAATTCACTGTCATTTAGGAGTTAAATCACTTTGTTTCTGTTTATGCAGCTGTAGCCACACCTCCCCTGGCTATGATTGACAGAGCCTGCATGAAAAAATAACTGGTTTCACTTTCAGATGTAATTTACCTTAAATAATTGTATCTCAATCTCTAAATTGAACTTTAATCACATACAGGAGGCTCTTGCAGGGTCTAGCAAGCTATTAACATAGCAGGGGATAAGAAAATCTGAATTAAACAGAACTTGCAGTAAAGAAAGCCTAAATAGGGCTCTCTTTACAGGAAGTGTTTATGGAAGGCTGTGCAAGTCACATGCAGGGAGGTGTGACTAGGGTTCATAAACAAAGGGATTTAACTCCTAAATGGCAGAGGATTGAGCAGTGAGGCTGCAGGGGCATGTTCTATACACCAAAACTGCTTCATTAAGCTAAAGTTGTTCAGGTGACTATAGTGTCCCTTTAACCCCTTAAGGACCAAACTTCTGGAATAAAAGGGAATCGTGACATGTCACACATGTCATGTGTCCTTAAGGGGTTAAATGACATAGAAAGCAAAAAGAATGCAGTGCTCCAACTATGGAGGCCGCTACATCTCCAGACATACTTAGTATACAAAACAATAAAGTCCAGACACTCAACGTTCTAAATCTTGATAGCCTTTGTAATGAAATGTTGCCTCTATATGCTATATTTCCTGGATTGATAAGGTTACAGTTTTTGAGTGAAACATTCTGTTATGTTCCTTTGGAAAGAATGTCAAGATTTAGAACGCTAATTGCCTGGGCTTTCTTATTTTGTGAAATTCATACTGTACACATACACAAACGCACGTACAGTCACAACATACATAATCACAATTACATACACAGTGCATAACCAGACAGTCAAATACACACACTTACACACAGTCGTATGCATACCATATCTGTCATATATACAGTCATGCACACAGCCAGTCACATACTTACACAGTCCTTAGGTCATGAGCACAAACACGGGCACATACACACATAGGCACAAAATTAGAAACTCAGTCACATATATATATAGGCACACAATTTACAAACACGGTCACATACATACATACATACATAGACACAAAGTCAAAAACACGGTCGCATACATACATAGTTAGGCACATAATTAGAAACACGGTCACATACATACATTCTCC